TATGGGTAAAAATATGATTACCTAACAGGGAATATTACTGGGAATAAATTGAAGTATATTAATTAGACAAAAGTAACTGAAAAACGTCTTTATTTTAAACACATGTTTACTTTGAATGAAATACAATATCACAACTCTGAATGATTTTAGTTTAATCACAATCAGTTATATTTTTCAAGTTGTTGCAAAAATGTTTGAACCGAAATTCGGCTCTGGCCCTGGGTATTTTGTAAACCCACAATTGCTGTATCGATGAAATAGAAAAAATCTCGGTAATCAACTGGATATTGAATCGAAAATATATAATATATTGCATAAAAACAAGCAAGGATTGACTCATTTGAGCATGTGCTGACGTCCACAAGCTTCATTCCTTCCACGCAAATGATCTTTTTTGCAGTTTCAAATGGACTCTCTCCAATGTTAATTAGCACTGGGAAGGTAACCGCCTTGATGTAGCTGGTGTGGTCTTCGTCTTCCTATAAAAAGAGTACAAATTCAAGCAAATTTGGTATTTCCGTGTAAAAAAATAGTAGGTTAGTTGATATAATTTTAAAAAGAAAATAATACAAATTTCGAAAAAATTCATGATTCAAAAACGAGTTACTTACATCTATGTTCACAATAATGGAACTTGCCGGTTTTCTATTCTTTATCTTCAGTAACTCTGGCAAAACCACGAAGGAGAACACACTTTCGAGACCTAAATATAATATGAATTTGACCAAGTGTCAGATAAAGTTTAAAGAATTTTTTATACTACTTGCTAACGTGCAAAGGTGTTCGTAAGCGGTATATGCAAACCCACATCCAATCGCTACATGCAGGAAACATGCAGTCAATACCATGTTTCGTGAAACTGCATGTAGCCACTTTAAAGGTACAGTGTCGCCATTTGCGCATCTTTTCTGCGCATAACAAAAATACTTCAGAAATTGTCTAAAATCGCTTAAATGTATTATTAATTCGCTTAGTTTTGGGCCAACGAATGATGACAGATGTGAAAGGAGCAGTTATCACCGACTGCGTGTGTTTTCTAAGCATGCCAACTTGAAAAACTAAGGCTGTAGTTTTCCAAGTTTGGTGATACAGGACAGTGAACCCAATCTTTTTAGCATCTATCATCATCCCTCTTTGGTTTTAAAGTGCACAATCATACAACCATTGGGGATTTTACATATTTGTGATATTCTGTTCATTCTATGATTCTAAGACAAAACGCAATATATTTCCTTTGAGAAAAACTTCATCTTCATGGTCGTTTTTGCTGTTAAAGTCACAGGAAGTGACGTCAAATAAGGCAAATCGGTTTCCTTGTTTCTTGCCATAAAAATGCCTTATTTGACGTCACTTCCTGTGATTTTAACAGCCAAAAAGACCATGAAGATGCAGTTTTTCTCAAAGAAAATATATTGCATAAATATTTATCAAATATAGTCTAGGGTGCACAGGGACGTCGTGAAGACATCAACATTGGGGGCGTCATGTTTTGACCAACTTTTCCTAGAATTTTGACCAAGTAGTAGAAGTGTTTCCTGAAAATGTTGTCGACGGGGGGAGGGGGGTGTTGTCAAAAAATTTTCCGTACTAACATAAGCAAAGCTTCAAATATTTTTCGACCACAATAAGCAAGACTTGCAATAGATGATTCCCCTTATTACGTTTTCGTAGCACTTTGCATTGTGGTTATAGTGGTATCACTGATATTCAAGATGGTTTATTTTTTGTCCTGACCTGTGCAAGAACTTTTAAAAAAAGCTAGGGTCAGGTGCGCTATAGCCAACAGCAAAATATTCGCGAAAACATTCAATATTTTCATTCGAGGCCACTATCTTTATCAGTGATACCACTATAACCACAATGCAAAGCACTACAAAAACGTAATAAGGGGAAAGGTCCATTGGAATGTACTGAACATTACAAATATGTAAAATCCCCAATGGTTGCATGTGCATGCACTTCAACTACATGCATACAAAAAAAAATTGTATTTAAGCACGCTGGCCTCGACAACTCGGAGCTGATTTCCATGAGGGGCGTGATTTGGAGAAAATATACTATACTGTACAGATAAACATTAAAAATACAAAAACAAAGAAAGAAGAATTACATATACAGTAGGCAACAGGACGAGCCAATTTTAAGTGTTTGCCTGATTAATAGTTCTTTGAAAAGAACTTAAAGATTCCGCTACTTTTACCTCATGCGGTAAATTATTCCATACTACCGCTCCGTCATATTTTAAGTATTTTTTACCAGAATCGGTATTTGGTTTAGGAAGAGACAAATCGGTTTCTCTATTTCTAAGATCATTGGTATTATCACATTCATTATTCAATCGAAAGGATGTTCTTAGATTTGGTGCGGTGTGGTTATTCAGAATTTTATACATAAAAACAGATTTTAGATAATTTCGCCTTAGTTCTAGGTGTTTCCAACCCAGACTTTCAAGTAAATCAACCGACCGAACATCGTAAGTCGCACTAGAAATTACTCTTGCAGCCCGATTTTGAAATTTCTGCAACCAGTCCTAGAGGCCTATTCCACAGTTGTCCCAGAGACGGCTGCAGTAATCAATGTAGGGCTGCATAATAGCATTGTACATCAATTTAAGTGTCTGCGACGATATCAACTACAGTGCAGCATGAGCGATTGTCAACAATTATTAAACCTTTTCCTGATATACACAGAAAAGATGCGCAGACGGTGACACTGCTCCTTTAAAGACATAGCTTCACCCATGGAAACTCAATCTGAATTTCGATGGACCCTTTCGATAATTACGTCACAATTACGTTTTTGTTTTAAGGCTAAAAACTTAAACGTAATCGTGACAAAGTTATCGAAAGGGTATGGCAGTATAATGATTTAACAAAATATAAATACATACTTTCAGCTGGGATGGCTTCTTTTGTCTTTGCCTCTTGCAGCAAACGTAGCAAGTTAGTGACGACTGTAGGCTTTCGTGAAAGATTTTTGCAGTAGTTAATGATTGCACCACTGTACTTTAAAAATCTGTCTTTTATGTCCTGTATGATATTCTCATCCTTTATTATCCGGACAAATTCATGACGGATCTAAACAATTTGTTAAGATTTATTTGAGTACAGATTCTTACAAATTAATATAACTATCATCAAATTTTTGATATTCAATAGATGCTAATCAAAGCACAGGACCATAAAAAAGTATAAGCCGCAATTTTAAAATAACGGCTTATGTTAAATAACCAACTTTACTATAAGCATGACAAAATTACTGGATGCTGATTGGTTGAGAGGAGTACAATTATTTCATTAATTGTACTGCAGTACAATTAATATTTTCCCAAAACAAAGAAAATGGCGGAAAAGTATTTAAACACAAATGAAATTGCACTATAGTGGAAACAAACACAGTAAATGAAAATACGAACCAAAACACCAACTTTTGGTTGAAAGTCCGACAGGACTGGGCTTTGGCGAGAGAATATGTTGACATTGACAAGTGTCATGCTAGGTTAGCGCTTATCCTGCAGGGTTAGAATTTAACCTACTGCATGATTTTGTTTGTGTACTTCAACATTTATTTCTCTTCAACATTTCAAAATGTATAACTTAAGCTTTAGAAAAGATAACTTTCATTGATCCAGGCAATGTTTGTAAAGAAATATAATGAAGTTTACATAAAAGGGTTTCAGGTTTAAACTTAGCCAGACTTATGTCACCCAGCTTAATCAAACAATTGGCCCATGAACAATGAGGGCACTTCCGAGAGCCCTATACATGAATATGTTTTTTCTGCAGAAGCCTTCTCCTTTGAGGAAATATCTTCCTTGTTTTATTTGCAAAAACTTACCCCATTGACAGTGGCAAGAGGTGGATATTGTTGTATAATTTCCCTAACTGGAATGGATTTCATTAATATTTCTGATCTTCTGTGCTTGTAAGTTGAAGTCATCAGTTGTTTTATTTTTCCAACATCTTGAGAGTGAGAAGGACGTGCGCATTCTTTTTGAATTTCAGCCAGGTGTTCATTGACTAAACACTCCATTTCCATGGAAACGACAGGGATTTCGTTCCAAAAATCACCCCGCTTCGTCCGCTTTACCACCTGTGTTTCAGTTTTCATAGTTGTAAACTCGGATTCCAAAGGAACCGCCAGCCTTCTTTTCTTAGCATCATATTTTCTCACGTGTTTAAATCGGTTTTTTATGGCTTGTTCCCATGAGCCCTTAAAAATAAAAAGAATATTAGTTATTGTCAATTTCAAATGCCACTGTAGCTATAAAACTAACACAAGTCCGGAAGTCCCCACCAATGCACACGACGGGATTGTGTGATTCTCGATACAGAGTCCAAAACATGAACAATAGGATCCATGATTCATTTAGTTACATCTATTAATCGGGCAAGTTTGCCAAACAGGGATGGGGCTCAGTCCTATTCTTGGGTTCATTATAGTGAATTGAGTAGGCGACAACCTCAAATGTATCTACGCATATGTTGCACAGGAGTATGCAAATGTAAGAAATTGTACATATTATTTCCTACCAAGTACAAGGCCAACAGATACAGTGAACAACTAACTCACTCAAATGACTGTATTTCGATTTAGAGTTGATCCCCACTGAAGTCTATGACATCATATGAAACCCAAGAATACCCCTACATTTGTGACCTCTGTACAGTATTTACGCCTGTATTCTAAAATCTCACACTCAATGAGTTGATGTTCAATCTGAGCTTCTCTTGAGTGTTAATGCTGTTTTTGAATAGCTGGAGGGCTAGTGTCATACCTTACTCGGTGGCTTGAGACTCAAGGGGAGCTCATATTGAACGTCCACTCATTGAGTGTGAGTGTGCTTTTAGAATACGGGCGTTAGACACACAGATGTACAATATTAATGTGAAATACCAAACCACTGCCAATAGGATCTTTTAGATGAGGGTACTGGCTCACTATTGCTGCTGCAACTTGTTTTCTTTCGGCATTGTTGAGAAAATAAACTCCATTCGATGAAATATTGGAACAGATATCTCTCACAAATTCGTTTCGTGTGTTTCCGATCAAGGATTTGTTTTCTAATGCACTGGTTACAGATGGAGAAAACTACAAAATACAATTTTACACTAAAAGGTCTTCAATTACTGCAACAAATACTGTGAAGTTTTCATTCCACACAATAATTATCTTTAATTTAACTAAACGAGGTGGTCTTTCAGCACTTTGTAAGAGTTTTTCTTTCTTTGTGTGTGACGTGTATGATCGTAATCAGCGATCGTAATCTTGGTGTATGCATGATCGCAATCAGCGAATTTAATCATGTGAATTCAAGCCTACCTTTTCTGGTAACTTAAAATCCCGAAAAAACATTCTGTTTTTCTTTTTCTCAAAAACAAAAGGTGAAGATGGCAAACTGGCAGTAGTTTCCTCAGGTGATATCACCACCTCAAACAAAGCATCATCATGTTCAGTGAATGTGTTTGCTGATTCTTGATCTTCTATGTTTGTTCTTTTTAATGTTTCTGGTTTATTGGTCCAAATGAAACCATACATGATTTTTTCTGTGTTGGTGTTGCATGTGTACTCAGGTGAATAATTATGATGCTTGCGACATTACTCTGAGTGTATATCCACACCGGGCGAGCTTGAAAAATATGCCTGGCCACGGTGGGAATCGAACCTACGACCTTTGGAATACTAGCCCATTATGCTCTGCCAACTGAGCTACGCGGTCAGGTCGGTTCGAGTAAGTGATATTTCGGAACAGAATCTAGTTCCTTCGATACCAATGTAATCTAGTAATATGATTTTTTCTGTGTTGGTGTTGTGTACTCAGGTGAATAATTAGGATGTTTGTGATGTTACTCTGAGTGTATATCCACACCGGGCGAGCTTGAAAAATATGCCCGGCCACGGTGGGAATCCAACCTACGACCTTCGGAATACTAGCCGGGCATATTTTTCAAGCTCGCCCGGTGTGGATATACACTCAGAGTAACATCACAAACATAAAGAAACCATACATATTACGTTATAGTCAAGAAAACTGAAATCAAGAGTGAAGACGGGAATATACCTATAGTTTATTTGTCACAATATTTGACAGCTTTTGCACAAGAAAATTGTTTTTTCCACTTCTAGAAACATCATTGGGAAAACAAAATTTGGTTTTCCCAGAAGGCAAAAATGTTTCCTCAATAAATTTAGAAACATTTTGTATGGCACATGTTCCCTGAGCAGGCTTTTGGCCAGAAGGGCATCTGGGCGTCCTGGGACCCTTTCAACATGAAAGTGGACGCCCAAAATTTAGGAGTAATCTTTCTTAATCGCTGTCATCTGCTGTTTACTTTAGTTATGGTATTTGTTTTCACACTTTTCCCATCGATAATATATAGAATATGCCTGAATATGGCTGAATTGAAATGTACATAAATATGCAATGTTTTTGTAACCATTTAAATATGAAGACGGTAAAGATGGCTATAAAATGAACCAAACACTTAAAAAAGTGAAAAAAATATTGCCATATAATTATCAAGAAATACAGACCACAATTCAACAACAAAAATTGAGGCCATGCTCAAAAACATGTGACCACACCTATAAAAATGTGTGGTCATACCCACACATGGTTTTCAGAAATGAACGTTTACAAATATTTCATTAAAGTGCACATGCAGCCATTGGGATTTTACATATTTTACTAAGACAAAATGCAATAAATTGTCGTTGAGAAAAACTTCATCTTCATGGTCTTTTTGACTGTAAATGACACAGGAAGTGACGTCAAATAAGGCAAATCCTTTTGTTTCTTGCCTCAAAAATGCCAGTGACGTTAACAGTATAAAAACACCATGAAGATGAAGTTTTCTCAACGACAGTATATTGCATTTCGTCTTGGAATGCACTGAATATCACAAATATGTAAAATCCCCAACGGCTGCATGTACACTTTAAAGGCTGCGTTGCACGATGCAGTTTCCCTTGCATCATGCATTCAATTCTACTTTCGAGGGATGTAAATTAGTGAAGAGTTTTCAAAATGTACTGTATGTATAAGAAAACACAAGTGGAGTAGTGTAAATGTAATAAACACAAAATTCTCATATTTGCCAAATTTCTATCTCTCAAAAGTAGAATTGCATTGCAATAATTGCCAAATTTCCATTGTTATATTTAATAAACACAGAAGAACAGTAGCTGAGTCTGTTTCACACTAACCTTGACCACAGCTAGGTCTTTATTCATTTGCAAGTCTTCATATTCTTTTGTTTTGTTTTTTAAAACCAGGGCTTCCCCAACGGTCAAACCACAAATATTCACTAATGTTCCGATGTCCACATGGTTAATGAGGACATGATCTGTCAGCTATAAAAGTAAAGGACGAAAAAACATTGTTTCCTCAAATGTTTTCCTGATTACTCACTCTTGGAGACATTGTATACCTTGTGGTAGTTTGTGTACGTTGTGTTGAGGTTCTGAAAAACAAACTATAAAATATACAAAGTCAAAGAACCTCACCTGTTGTGCTTGCAAGACATCCATAGTCTTCTGAATTATTGCAGCTTTTAGATATTCTTTGAATGATACATCCATTACCGAAACGCCTAGAAAACAATTGCATTTAAAAATAACATTATTTAAAAACCATTTTGGGTAGTATATTAAAAAGCGACTCGAGGTACAAGTTTTTGTCTGAAATCGTGAAAAGTGACGGCACAAGAAAATTAACCCCGGAATACCTGACAAAAACCAGTTAAAAATACCATACGGTTTTCAAAAAGCATAATGAATACTGTATTAATATTCACTTACTTATTAAAGCATATAAACTTAGAAAAAACTGCCAGCAAACTTGATATTTTTCGTCTTCTTAAAAAACAGCTTCGTTGCTTCCCGTTTTCCCGCTCATTTGTCTAACTTGATTCCCGGATGTAAGTACTTGAAAGGCCTTTCCTGATTGGTCAGTTTCTATTTTTGCAATATCATTCCACTTTACGAGCAAACCGATTGGTTAACGATATTTCCATTTTCCCGTCAGAATTACCGTATGAAAGAAATGTGAAGGAAATTTAAAATTTGAAGGAAATTTAGGAAAAAATAGAAAATTTGAAGGATTTTTCAAAATTTGCTGAAAAAATCAAATAATCAAACGTTTTTAACCACTTTTTCTGCCATGATTTTGCAAAAATCTACATAAAAATGGAAAAAAATCGTAAAAGAAGGAAATTTTAGTCCAAAAAAGGAAAAAATAAGGATTTTTCAATTTTTGAAAATGGAAGCACTGCTAGACCTGTACATGTGACGAGACTTTCCAATGACTTTTCACAAACACTGAAACACATTGAGAGTTTTCGAGGCTGAAAATGCCTTGGAATTGCAGCATTTGTGACGTTTTTGCCGCAGATGATTTAAAAGTGCTTTTAAATCATATTGGTAGATGCCACCGAAATTACCCCAATTTTCACTGCGTATGTGGCATTGATGGTTGCGTGAAGACGTATAAAAAATATTATTCCTGGAGAAAACAAATCCAAAAAAAACACAATGTCGTCGATACAGGCGATCCGCTTGACGGAGATATGGCAGAGCCAATGAACATTGATGCAAATAACCCAGAAGAGGATAATGTTAACACAAAATAGATCACAAGAGCTAGTGCCTTATACTTGCTGAAACTGCAAGAAGAGTGTTTTTTACCAAAAACAACAGTGAAAGGTGTTGTTGAAAATACCAAGACCATTGTACAAGAAACCTTATTAGTTGTAAAAACGCAGGTGGAACAATGTTTATCCAAAAATAATATAGATCCTCAAGGTGTTCCGGAATTAAAATCGATTTTTCAAGAAAGTAGTGCTATCACAAATCCGTTTAATGATTTGGAAACACAATCACAACAAAAAACCTATTACAAAGAGAATTTTCAATTAAAGGTGGGTAAATATTTCAATTGTGAAATTTGAGCTCCCCTATTCCTGGACACCCTGTTTTATTTAAACAAATAACGTTTTTTAGCCTTCCCCCTGCAGCCCTCACCCCAAATAAACCTCTCTCTCTGATAAGCACCTTCTGATACCCCCCCCCCCGGCAAATAGAGAGAATACGGTATATTTTGTACTATATTCTATAGCCCCCAAAAGCTGATGTTTATATGCCATTGTAGGGTACTCACAAAAAATTAAAATGTTACTATATGTTTCCTTCTGTTTTAATTTAAAAGGAGCCTCAAAGGATTGTCCTCGGACAAAAAGAAGTATATAAGAGACGAAAGGGGACATTCCAAGCAACTCAATCCAATGACGAAGCCTATTATATTTCCATTCTTGATAGTTTAGAACAACTCCTCAATGATGAATTTGTGTTAGAGCAGGTACACCACCTTGACTTTGAAACCAACTGTAATGAGCTTACTGTACATTAGACGAAAACGTTTTTTGATGGGTTATACAAGGGGGCTTATATGTGGACAGAATTCCAGGCAGAGACTTTCTGGGGGGGGGTGCACCCCCCCCCAGAAATGATTTGCACCCCCCAGAGGCATTTGGCACCGCCCCAAAATGTTTTTGCACACCCGCAAATTATATATATTTTGATAGTTTCATATTTGATTATTTTTACTACTAAATTTGTAAAATTACCAATATTATGGTCTCAGATCTTGCCATGCAGGCCTAAAACAAATTTTGTTAAACTTTTTCCTTGGTCTTTCCGGGTGTTGCCACCACGCCCCAGCCAACGCAAGCAGCAGCACCACCACCCCCCCCCCCCAGATTATTTATCCACCCCCCCTGAACGAAAATATGAAAATCCGTCTCTGCGGAAATAATATAGGCCTACCATCAAGGTGTTCTGTAACATGTGATATATTGTAACAGTACACCTTGATGGTAGACCTATATTAGGGGGGGGGGGGTCGGAGGTTTACGGCACTGGAAAAATTATCACACCACTATTAAACAAAATCTAGCACACTATAATTTATTCACTCCAACCCAAACAACAAATTGGAATTCTATAGTTGAAGTTTCTAGCACAAGGCACAGTTTTTTAATTAACCTGTTTTATTAATTTTTTGATCTCATGTTATACAGGTTGAAAACCCTCACACAAGTACCGACGGTCTTATTAGAGATTACTGCGATGGACAACAGTTTAAGAATCACCCATTGTTTTCTGTTGATCCAACTGCTCTGCAAATCATGTTATACTACGACGACTTAGAAACGGCCAATCCACTTGGATCGAGAGCAGGAAAACATAAACTTGGTATGTTTACTTTGAAAAATGGTATTACAGGTAAATATTATGTAAATGGTAAATGTTTTCACAATTCTATATTTTAGGAGGATTTTACTACATGCTTGGCAATATTAACCCTATGTATCGGTCGTCAATGAAGGCTATACAACTTCTATGCTTGTGCAAAACCGTTGATATAAAAAAGTATGGAATAGACGCAGTTCTTGAACCTTTTATGGTCGGACTTACAAAAATTGGAACAGGTACTGTAAAAGTTAACCCAACCAGACGTTCTACTAGAGATACTTCATTACATTGAAGTTTTGCTTCAAATGAGTAAGGGGCCATTCACGAAATACGTCATGATCCAAGGGAGGAAGGGTTGTGTTTAACAAAGGGGGAGGGGTGGGAGGGGGTATCACAAACTTTGTCACCTGGCGTATTGCCATTGATACAGGATTGATAACGAGGAGGACAAATTTTCTATGCTGTTCTATACCACAAACAACAATATACTGTAAAGCTAACTGTATGCTATCTGTGACAATGTTGCTGATATTGTATTGAAATATAATTATTAAAATTACGTTCCAAGTATGTTATCACATATTAAATTTGTTATGTGTGTGTCTGGGGGAGAATCCCTTACAGTCACATAATTTTTGTAAGGGGGTAATGCAAACTGTCACATGTCATAATGAGGGAGGGGGGGGGGGTAAAAAGTTGGCAAAAAAGCATCACATGTTTTGTGAATAGCCCATAATATCAAGAAAAAAAATTACACAAAATATTTTAATTATATTTATATTATATATACATGCTTACAATGATTTTCAAAATATTTTAGTGAGAATTATTGCAAAATTTAAGCACAACAAAATCATAACATCACCGTTATAGTCTAGCGCGCGTGCTTTATATTGACAGCTAAATTCCAGGATAAATTGGGGTTTTTTCCTTCAAACTTTAAAAGTCATTCACGGCGCATATTTCTGTTGTGATGGTTTGTATTATGCTTTAGTTTGTATATCTAAGTTATCTAACTTATTTTTGTTCAGTTTCGGTATTATAAATACTGTACGGTTTAAAATGTCTTTTGACAATTTGTTTACGTTTGCTATTTTTAGCAGTTCTTGTGACATAAAACTGACATTTGAAGTAAGAGTATTTTTCAGGGAGGTCGCGTAATTTTGAAAACGGGTGTAAGAGTAATATGAAATGACAAAATAACCATGCATACTACTATGCCATTGATCTTCTGCCATTTTATCATGAACATGGCAGGTCGAACCTACAGTGCTAACTTCGCCATTATCCGTAGATTTAATTTACATTCCACACAAACTTTGATTAGGATGATGGCCACCCATTCTTGATTAATGGTGAAGTGAGAAAATATCGTGGTTCATTATGCTATGGATCCGGAGATAATCCTGGAATTCATTCGTTAGGAGGATTTAAAGAAGGTTGCCAGGCACACCGAAAGTGTCGCCACTGTCTTGGAAATCATGAGGAGATTAAATGTATGGTAAGTGAACATCATATGCACGAGTTATGCATTAATGTCCACACACCCTGGACTCAAAACAGTTTTTCAATGGAGTATGATTATCAAGAAAAGATTCATGTCTATAATAAGAGAGATTCATGTTCTAAAGAATAAAGTGCAATTTCACTAAGGTCTTTTTCAAATCTGATTTTCATATTACTGTATATCAAATCTGATTTTCATATTACTTGCATTTATATATTTTCAGTTTCATGAGAAACATTTTTTGCTTCGAACCCCCTGAAAGTTACGACAAACACTGTGAGGAAATATCAGCTTTTGGAGAGTATTTTAGTAAAATGTATGGGATTAACCGAAGATCAATCCTGAACAACAGCAGGTTTTTTCATGTGGTTGGTGGACTGCCTACAGACGTGATGCATGACATACTTGAAGGGGCATTGCACTACGAAATGAAGATGTTGAAAGACTTTATCAAGAATGAAGCTTACTTAACCGTCGATGAATTAAACAACAGATTATCCAAATTTGATTTTGGATATTATAATGATACAAACAAGCCATCGCCAATAACTGAGAAGAAGCTCTCGTCTAATGACAACAGCCTGAAACAACATGGTAGGTTCATGTTTAACATTTTTTTACTTTTTTATAGAATGGAGCCCATAGTCAGTTTCATCCATAAAGTATATGATGCTCGCAAGTAGTGTTTGCCCTTAGAGTCCTGGTCAACCACAATACATTGCGTGCACTTTTTTACAGTATTCTCCATTTTCATTGGCTATGAAAATGGCGGACTTTAATCCAATTCTTTTGATGGCAAACAAATGAATGAGTTAACATTAAACACACAATAATGTGATAATTTAAAATATGGCAAAACAAGTTAATTATTTATCAGGTTCAATCATCTGCAGACATTGCATGATTCAATTGTGAACAAACATTACCTGTATAATGTCTTGTTAATAGTAACAATGTCTTACATTTTTTGTTTCAATTGTATTGTGCTCTAAAGCTGCTCAAATGTGGTGCTTGGCCATTCACTTGCCGCTGATCATTGGGGAGTTGATTCCACTGGACAATGTTAAATGGCATCTCTACTTAAAAATGCTGGAAATAATGTCGATATGCTTTTCTCCAACAATATCCATGGATCAGATAGCATACCTTCAAGTTCTAATTGAAGATCACCATACCGAGTTCTGTAATGTTTATCAAGAATGTTCAATCATTCCCAAGATGCACTTCATGATCCACATGCCAACCATTATGTTAAGGTATTCTGAGGGCAGACTAAAAATGCAAATAAATATAGTAAGTTTTTAATCGATGTTTCATATTAACCCATTTACTTCCAGTAGTCCACTACTGATGAGTAAAATCGTCTGGTGTTAAACAGAGTAAATACTAAAGTAGGGCGCAATGCCAGCTAATGGGTTAATAAGAGACAATGGCTGATAGGTTTGTTAACTCATTTACTGACAATACTGTACAACTCACAAGTAAAATTGTCTGGCATTAGACAGAGTAAATACTAAAATAGGCGCATTTGGGCACATTGCCAGTCAATGGGTTAAATATATCTTAAAATGAATATATACATATATATTAGAGGTGTGCATCGGATCGGATTGGATGTTTGTAATCCGACAATTGGCTAATGTTTAAAATCCGATCCGAAATTGTCTAATCCGAATCCGATCCGAGTTCTAATAAGGTATTTCAATCCGATCCGAAGAATTCTTTAATAAAATAAATTTTTCATTCACGTTGAAATGTTTAACCAAATCAATAGAAAAACAAGAAATACATGTCAAGAAGCTGACAAAGTGATGTCCAAATGAAAAATATGACGTATCAAACGAAAAATGCAGTGACAACGGCGAGAATGCTTTGATAAATGCATGGATAATTAATTCTTGCAATAATACACGGATAATTAATTCATTTTATTTCGAATATCGAAGTCCGATCCGACTGCGAAACAACTTTATCAATCCGATCCGATATGTATATTTTTGTTACGAAATCCGAACGAATCGGATCGGATTTGCACACCTCTAATATATATAGCCCTGGGGGCACATAGTGTACACCCCCATAAGAAAATATTTTTGCAACCCCCCCCCCCAAGATGTTAGCCCCCCCCCAAAAAAAAAGAAAAATACAACCGGAAATTTAAATTGTATTAAATGACAGTAGTATGCATTTTTGGCACCCCCTGAATTTTGGCCACCTTTCCTGAATTTTTGGCAACCCCCCCCCCGAGAAAAATCTGAAAATCCGTCTCTGATATATAGAGAGTGTGTGTGGTAAGTATACAGTATGTACTGTAATGGTTTCGCCATATTAACTTTAGCCTAGGGCCACTTGTTCGATCTTGGTGTATGCGCTATGAGGCCAAGCACCACTACTTCAAGAAACTGTGCACAATTATTGGCAACTACACGAATCTTCCATACACACTTTCAATGCGTCATCAACATTGGGTGTGTTACAAGATGAATTCATCCGGAAACCACAAATCTTCCTTTTTGGAGAAGGGCATTGAAACTGGAGCAGGTAATTTTGCTGCCTTTTTAAAATTGGTGATATCAAAACCCAGAAAGTAGAAACTACGCTGTAAAATGCTAGCTTTGTATTTTCAATATTAGCTTAATAATAAATCATATGAATATTTCACAAAGTTCAATCTTGCTCATACCAATCATGAATATGTAGGCTGTAAAAAATTACTACAGTGGATCTGCTTACTGCTACAAATGCATAGCATTTTACAAGCCAACACTCTACACATCAAATCCCTTGTATACAGCAAAAGATTACAGTTCAGAGGTATACTTACCCAACAATCAAGTTCTTTCAATAATCATTTTCACTGTATTGTTTACATGAAGGTAAAACAATTTGTGCAGGTGAGCTCAACTATTTTGAAGCCTTGAAAGGAAAACATAATCAACTGCAGAGAACAACAAACATTACAAAGTAAGCATAATAAATGTTCATTTTATATAATATATAAATATTGATTACAGTATACTGTGGGTCCATTCATCTATTGGTGTCAATAATATTTCTAAACACGGTGTTAAAGTGCATAGTAACTTAATTCAGCTACAGTAGTATGCTGCACATACCCAGTGATCTTGTGTTCGTATTTTAGCCAATCAGCGCTCAGAAAGGGTTGTCCGAATAGAAATCCATTTTGATGTATTCAGTCAATCATATCTTTCGTTATTCTTTATGAAACTAGTTGAAATTTTGTAATTATGTTTGCTTATGAGAACCATAGCTCTGACAAAAATATGGAATCGAAATAAAGTATATTACAGGAGATATTCAGTTGTTTTAATCATAAAATAGATTTCTATTTGACAACTAGTGCCAGTACTTTTCCGCGTATCAAGATCACCTGGTAATTATTTTGTTTTTGCTTTAGACTGAAATGGATATCTGTTCATGGAACAAGATTTAAAGTGGGAGGTGTTGTTTTCATTGGACACGATGATGAAGAAGTACCAAGATTTGCTGTGGTGAAGGACATGTGCGTTGTTGAGGAAAGTTTAGATAATTTATGGCTGGTCACAGAAGGTTTGCTGACAACCTGTTTCAACCAACACTTCAATGCATATGAAGTAATGCCAATTACAGAAGATAATTTGGTTCTGTTAAAACAACATCATCTCCCTTATGCAGGGCCGTCCTCAGGAAATTCTTCAGGGGGGGTGTAATAAGGTCAATTCAACCGACTGGTTCAAAAAAAAATTTTCCGGATCAAAAATTTTTTGTCGACCCCCCCTCCCCCCCCCGTCACCAAAAAATTTCGGTCAGTGTACCATTTTAGGGGTCCAAAAATTTTCCCAGACGTACAAAAATTTTCCGGAACATTCAAAAATTTTCCGCACATAACAAATTTTCAACATTTTTTTACATTTTTCCAAAATTTTTACATTTTTCCTCAAAATTTTCCTAAAATTCCCACCACATTCTTGCCCTTTGCGCCAAAAATATTTAACCCAAATAGCAGTTCTACCGACTGAATAGCAGTCCTACCGACCGAATAACAGTCCTGCCGACTGAATACAATTACTGGGGGCTGTCACACCCCCCCCCACCCCCCCCGTAACTCCGGGCCTGCCCTTATGGTCTCCAACTTCATTGTATTAATATTAAACAGGATGGACATGTAAAAGCTTGTATTTGTCCAAAGTACCAATTGCCACTAATATAAGAACAGAAAACTAGGGTGATGCGGTTAGTCAGGATGAATCTTTATTTTTGCAGATCAGTTTCACAAGTCTTCTAAATATCAGATAAATGACTAACCGAAACAAGAAATTTAGACTTGGATCAAGTCCGTCTCTCAAGAGTCTGAGGGATTGGATGCGCGAGGTGTTGCTTCGCAATTCAACTCTAGAGAGACGGACTTGATCCAAGTCTACGAGAAATTCTGCGCCGTTTAAAGTCAAAATATGTGGTGAAAATATATTTCTTGACCCGAAATACATCGCTGATTTCCTCGCAACGACAGACGAGTCGGAGGGAAATGAAACTGATTGCCCGGAACTTACCAAGGTTCAAGAGAGAAACCAAAAGAATATTATATTAAATATCCAGTCATTGATAATGAAAATCCGTTGAAGTGGTGGCAACGTAACGAACATGAACTTCCGCTTTTAAGCCAAAATAATTTTATCACAAGACTCGGTTATGTCGATTATTTCGTGATGGTGTTCGGTTTGAGTTTTTTTACAAAACCGCATCACCTTACAGAAACGAATATTTGATTTCATATCAAGCTGTTTACGTTATGGACAGTTCATTTGTGATGGTTGGTGTAACTTATTCAACATGCTATATCTTTCACAAATTTTCAATTCAGAAATACTAGCAACTATGCTCACAAGTACTCACAAAGTGAAATCCTATGGAGAAATGAGCATGATAATATATAGGCTGCTGTTTATACTCAGGCTAAATCCTATGCAGACATGCACAAAGAAGCAAATATTTTGATTGCTTAAGGCATGTCAGATATGCAGTGTCACAGTGATTTGGGTTCCTCTATGAAATCTGTTTCCCCTCTTAATCGGAATAAGATATGTTTACTCACTGTGATTAGTCAGTTCGATCGATCAATTATTCAATTTCAGGATAATTCAAAAAATGTTATTGACAAATAATTTATACATATTTTCAAATCGGCTGGACAAATCGCAATCAGTAAACATAGCTTGGCTTGGCCATGACATTTGTATAACATATGGCCAGTCTGGATGATGATGCTATTGGTACAGTGTATATAAGAAAAATCATCTTTTTAAATTTGATTTCTAAACATTTGTGTATATAAAATTTTGTATGAAAGTGATACAGGTAATATATGTAAATATAGCTAAATATGCATTTCATTATATGGCAAAAAGATCTTGTTAAACACGATTACAACATATAAAACAAACAAATTAAACCACATTATGATTATTTTTCACAAATGCAATTCAAAGACAAAGCTAGTGAAAGTCCAAATTAACCAATAGTTGCATACTTGCATCCCATACTCAACCCCTTTTGCTATGGACTATTATTTTTAGACAATCAAAATTGCCTAAAAGTGATTTATATACTAAGTGGTAAAGCTATAGCATTGATTACAAAATAGAAATTAAGAAATACAACATACCTGTTACAATGCTGAATGCAGTGGTCTGGTGGACAAGTCACGAGTCAATTTATATAATGAAGTTTTTGGCTCTTTGCGTTTTAATTTATGTAAAATTTATCTTTATTCAAAGCGGCAGTTTCCTCCTAACGTTTTCCTACTTAGCCAAGAGAATATCAGAACTTTGTCAACGACTTTTAAGTTCAAACCGGCATAAAAAATACACACTACAAAATATTTTCCGCCATTTTGAAAATATTTATTATATCCACCGATGTACCCCAAAGCAAGGCAGGTATAATAGTCGGACCGGATCGCCAGTCCGCATCGGATCGGATCGCCAGTCCGCGTCGGATCAGGTCGGATCGTGCAGGTATAAACGTCGGACCCGATTGTGATCCGGGTCGGATCATGCAGCCGGTATAAAAGTCGGACCGGATCCATAGATCACCGAATCGCTAGTCCGGAATTAAAGGAAATAAAATATTGATAGGCAGTTCGATGCAATAATTTCCAAAAAAGTGGTCTAAAATCTAATAACATAAAATGTTTTACTTTCGTCGCCATCCATTTTGCAGATTTGCCACGCTGTTTCAAGGCCTGCATGGTTCCACGAGCGCTTTTTCTCGGCGAAATGCGAATTATTTCGCCCGTTTCTTTTGAATTGCGACTACTCGAATAAATTATTTCTACTTGATTACTCACAATTCAAAAGAAACAGGCGAGATATTTCGCCGAGAAAAAGCGCCCGTGGAATCAGGCCTTGCCTTCACGCTGTGTAAATAACGCGGGAAAGAATGCAAACTTCCATTTGTGTAAGTAACATTTCCCTGAATATCCTGATATTTCTAAATTTTCAAAAGATCCGACCTAATCCGACTTGGTCCGACCTGATCCGACCCAGACCACAATCCGGTCCGACTTTTATACCTGCCTCCCAAAGCATGGTAATTTTTACACCAGTGAAATTTTTACCCAGCTCTGTGGGTAATTTATAAGTTACTCTTTGAAGTGGGATAACTTATTTAACGTTTAGGTAGGAGTACCGTTCTTCTACCCTCCAAATTTGGAGTAAAATTTACTCCAATTAATTTTACCCATCAGGCAAAGGTAAAAATCACTCCAAATTGGAGTAGTTTTTACACCTCAAAATTTACTGTGTATATATACTATATATATATATACTATATATATATATACTATATATATATATA